GTAACCCTTGCTGGCTGGGGAATTCTGGGAGTTGAAGTCCACCCGTCTTAAAGTGGCCAATGTTGAGGAAACCTGGTCCAGGGGCTCTCTTAGGTGGGCGGGCTCCAACTCCCAGCATTCCGCAGCCAGTTTGCTGTGTGGGGAATGGTGGGAGTTGAAGTCCGCCCATGTTAGCGGGGTCCAAGTTGAGGAGTGCCGGTCCAGTCCAGCCCCGCAGCACCTCTACTGGGTGGCCGCCCGGCCTCTGCTGAAGCCCCTTCAGAGAAGTCAGGCCTGCCGCTTCCCATGGCGCCCGCTCCGTTGGTGCCCAGCTGTTGCCCCTGGGGCGTTTGTGCTGACGTCCAGCCCAGTTCGCCTTCCTTTTCGTCACGCCGTTATGCCCTGAAATTGCAGCAATTTGCTAATAACATTCATAGAATCAGAACAGAAGAGATGAAAGAGACCTTTATATTTAGCTGTTTCTAATGATTTTTTCCCCTAGTTTTGTACACCACCCAGAGCCCACTGGAGCTGGGTGGCCAATAAATGTAAGCAAATAAATAAATAGATGAATAAATGATACAAACCCCCTGCTCACAGCAGGAATCTACTACTACAGCGCCTCTAACAGGTGGCCATCCAGCCTCTACTGAAACACCTTCCGAGAAGTCAGGTCTACCACGTCCTGTGGCATCTGTTCCATCGGTGAACAGCTCTTACCACTACGGCATTTCTCCCGATGTCCAACCCAATTTGCCTTCCTTTTCATTGGAACCCCTTCTTTCCCGTCCTACTGTTTCTGCCCTGGCTTCCACAGGACACCTTCCAGATGCGTGAAAACAGCTGTTACGACTTCCCCGGTCGTCCCTTCTTCAGGCCAAACGCACCCAATGCCTCTCGTTCTTGGGGGTGTTTCGTTCGAGGCTGCTTAATTGCCTCCAAGGGTCTCCTCTGGACGTGCTGCGGTCTGTCACTGTTCTTTCTGAATGGTGGGACTCAGAAAGGGGTAACTGTTTAAGGGCTGCTACCGTATTATGTCTTCCTTTTGTTGGGTTTCAGGGCATACTTTGCCCCTCGATTGTCCCAACGATGCAGTCAGGATCCTTGGAAAGTCAGGACCAATGTGACCCCTCATCCCCTTGAGCGTAACTCACCCTTGAATGAAATTTGCTTGGTGGGGATCCACTGATTTGATCGGTGGTTTCTTAGTCCTCTGAAAGTAATCAGAAGATATTCACAACTTGTAACCAACTCGTGCAGCAATTTGTCAGTAATGTTCAGGGACTGGGAGGGAGGGAAGAGGCCTTGGAGGTCATCTACTTCCACCCCTCTTGCTCATGGCCGTAATGCACTGCCACAGATGGCCAACCACCCTCTGTTTGAGCACCTCCTGAGAAGTCTGACCGGTGCAGAACAGAGAGGAACAGCAGCTTCTGTTAATGTGGCCGAGGATCACATGTTGTTTGTTTGCAGCTGAATCACTCTGTTGGCTCCTATGCAGTTTGGGACTCACCATGACATCCAGATCCTTTCCAGGTGCAGTGCTTTCCAGGGCAGCCGCCTCATGCCTTTGATTTTTCCTACACAAATGGAGGGCTGCGCGTTCGTTCTTGTCAAGCTCCATCTTGCTAGCTACTGTCCATTATTCCAACTTCCCTGGATTCTGCTGAATTATGGACCTCTAAGGTGTTTGCTCTCCTCCCTATTTCCTAGATCAGAGCCGCTCAGTTCTCCCCTCCAGCTTCACACAGAGCTAATGACCTACAACAGCTCTGAGCAGTAAGGTGGGAGAGCTTCAAAATGGTCCTCTTTGCAACACCCCCCCCCCGCCTCCATTCTGACAACAGAGAAAGTGAAGTCATATATTCATTTTCAAACAAACAAAATCATATTATCCCTTAAAATGTGCGAATGAAATTCCTGTCCAAATCACCCACCAGGGGCACCTCTGTCTTGTCTGGATTCACTTTCATGGATTATCCCTCATCCAGCCGATCACCAACCGTTTCCTGAAGATGTTGCAAAGAAATAGATCCGGCGTCACGTGTTTCCTAAGAGCCCTCAGAGCTCTATAAATCTCAGAATGGCCTCCCCAACGGTTTCATGAAGATGTTGAAAAGCTACGGAGACTGAATGGAGCCCTGAGGGACACTAATAATCCCTGTAGATGGAGGAACCATCTCTAAGCAACCCCTGAGAGATCGGAATAGAACTGTTGCAAAACCTGTCTCCTGTTTCCAGTCTGGAAGGAGACCAGCTTCAGTGCTATCAAAAGAAGCAGAGAGGTCAAGAAGAATCACCAGAGTCACACTTTCCCTGGTGATCTCCAAGGATCATCCATCAGGCCAGCCAAGGCAATCCCAACCCTGTAGCTGCCTTGAAATCAGTCTGGATTACCTGCTTCCCCCAGGCCTGCCCATAGTTAGAAGCCAGCGCTGCTAAATCACAAGGTATTTATTACAGTATTAGCTGGACATACAAGGAAGTATATTTCTGAAATCATACATAGTAGTAGTAGTAATCTTTATTGTCATTGTACTTCTCGTACAACGAAATTAAATGCCACCCCAGTG